GTGATTTTCCATTTCGCGAGCAAAAATAGCAACAGAAACACGCACACGTCGACGCCGCACAGGAACCACCAGTACAGCAACTTGGAGGAGGACAAGTCGTGCGGAAAGACGGTCGCAGTCCCGTGGTACAAAAAGAGGAACAAGAGGGGTGGCAGGTAGTTCAGATTTTGGTACGGCTGGTAAAGCTTTTCCAAGTCGAACTTGTGCACGTGCTCGTACAAAAAAGCAGTCTCGCGGAACCGCTGGTAACTCGTAATTGGGGGGTATGTAAGAAAAAAGTCAAAGTGTAGTTTCAGTGTAGCTTTAAGTAATTGTTGTTCAGGGACATATATTAAACAGCATCACAAATCTGTCTGCTATGACAGCAAAAGTTTGTCATGTGCAGAGACTACGTCCAACTGCTCCAAACGCGCCGCTTGAAAGGCGAAGGACGACCCAACACTCCCTCGTCGTCCAACGCTTCCTTTGAAGGACAAACCAACGCAACCCATCAAATGCATTTGCATGTCCTGCATCAATACATCAAAGTGCGACCACTAAAAACACAATTTGAATTTTCCGCTTAGATAGGCTATTCAGCTCGGGTTCGTCCTCAAGAATGGAGTGGCTCGTATGAAAATGGTAAAATCACTCGTCCCCCCCTCCTCATTTGCCATGCAAAATTCCAAATCCTGTCACTGCCGTTTGGCAGTACTAGCATGACAACTTTTCTTTTCCTAACTCACAAGTGTATTTTTCGCAATATTGAAGCACTTAGATCCCAAACGGAAATACAGTCCTGGCCTGAGTTTGTCATGCAACACCTGCACTCTCAACTTTGTCTTCCTTGCTGTGAAAAATGCCCTTCAACAAGCGATGAGGTGGTGTGGAAATAGTTGTCCTCTATCTGCATAGTTCGCGTCGAGCATCGAAAACCAAAGATAGCGGAGGGTAATCCCGAAGGCAAGCCCGAGCACGGGTGGAAGGAGCGTAGAAGAGGCCATGATGAAGTGAAGATCTAGTTCTCGACTATTAATGGTAACAAGTACTATATTTGAATTTCAATTACAACTTCGGTGCCTCCGCAAGAAACAGTAACTCGAATCGGATTCGAAACCGAATAGCGCTGGTCTTCGTATACATGATTTCGAACCGCGTTTCTGAGAATACTGCTCTGTGGCGCAGAAGACAACCTCCGTCACAAATCGTGGCAGCGTCAACATCTTTTCCAGTAGCATTTTCGCGAATATTTGGAAGATCAGAGCGGAAGACTAGAAGATCAGAAAAACCAGAAAGCAGATCTTCGTGCGCCGGAAAATTATGGTCCACGACCATCTCAAAAGCGATTTTGAAAAGGAAAACGAAAGCACGACGCACGAACACAACGACCATACAATTTGAATCTCAGAGACAAAAGTGAATTCAAAACGGATCTGAAAGAAAACTACCTCTTCCACTACCTCCGTCTCCGAGGCGAAGATGCATAAGAAGAAACAGTAGAGGATGCGGATCACCAAAAAAAAGAAAATAGCGGCACTGCTAGATAAACACGACCGTGCAAAAAGTTGTTAAGGCGAAGTTTGCGTTTGTCCTGGTCCCTCCTGTCGGGGACTACTTTGTTCTCGTTTGGTCCCAAACACTTGTTAAAGCGAGAAGACGAACCAACACTCTATATTTCTCGAGAGTCTTACCTTTGCTCTGTCTACTGGTCATGTAAAAAGGGCAGAACACAAAAATCAAAACACATCAAGCCTATTTTCAACCCATCGCGTGGTGTTGTTTTTGTTTTTCTCCTTTTTCCAAATCTCTAAATCATCATCACCGGCTTTTTCAAATCTGTCATGCAGTTTTTTGGATCATGTACTCGAGAGCTGTTAACAAACGGGTTCGGGGGGTAAAGTCTAACCGTGCCTACCGTGAATTCTTTAAGCGCACGACATGACCCTGGGAGACAGTTGTGTGACAATTCCGAAAAGCTAAATATTTGAAAACGCACTTTAAACTCTATAGAAAACGACATAGTAGCACTGCACGACACTTCTTTTTTGCGCGATCGATTTCATACGAAAGACCGACATCCTGTTCATCCTTCATTCTGCTACGAGCCGACTTCTTTGAGTTGCATTTTCATCTACGATTTGTAAAAAAGTTCTGTTCCGAATTTGTGCTGTGGGTTCTTCGAAATTTGCATTACAGATTTGTGTTTTTTGATGTGAGCATTTTAGTTCCAGCGTGCATTGACCGATCGAGATTTACATTTTTGAAACACAGTCGCCCTAGGTACGACGTGATCCGAGAAAATCCTCGATGTCGTTTACACTCTATCTCATACCGTTTCATACCTTTAAATAAATCAAAAAAATCATACACGTAGTGCTGTTCATATATCTATCCCTTTGTGATTTTTGTTTTGCGTCTTTTTTCACAGGAGATGATAGCCTCTTCTTGTTGTCTGTTTTCTTAAACATGCATATCGTTGCTCTTGCTTGTGATCTACCGCTTTGAAAAATTTAAATTCCAGAGATCCTCTTTTACCAGCAACTCGCTGCGTTGTATAACTACACTCGTCACAAAAACGGCAGACGGGGTTCGTTGCACTCCCAAAAGCTGGAGGCACCGGCAAGACCAAGCAGTGTGGCAGCGCAGCGCGCTCTGCGCGCGCGCGCGCACGCATTTGGTTACCAGATTACAGCCAGCGCTGCTTCCCCGCCGAGCAGATCCCAACTGGACGGCACTTCCTCACGTGGATTAAGGCAGCGGGCACGAACGGAGGCCAGTGCTGTGGCTTTGGGCTGCACCGGGTGTCTCCAGTATGGCCTCATCCCTTACAGCTTCTGCCGCGGCTTCCATATCGAATGCAAGTGTGTCTGGGTCTGCTGGAATAAAGAAGCTGTGAGCTTGTAGTGCACATTTAGATTTTAGATCACCCAAAAATCTGTCATGCTTGGGCAGCAAAAGTCCCTCTTCTTGCTGTCAAAAACAGAAGGCATTTGTCATGCGGATTAGGCCTGAAGAAACAGTCTCAGGCACACCTGTGACGCTAGGACTTGCGTGGCGGATGTTCTGGGACTGGGCCACGCAGTAGACACTGCATCGCAAACCTCAGCAATCTTCCAGACCCAGACACATTCGCACTTGATACTCCATTTCGCGGACCAGCTTCCTGGCCTCCTCTGTCCTGCCCATCCTATCATACTGGCGTTGGAAAATACTTCGGAAGGTAGCAATATCCAGTGCAAATATGTCTGGGTCTGGAAGGATGCCAGATTTGTCATGTAGGTTTTCCATGACCCATGAGGTCTGGAATGCAGCACCTAGGATGACAAATTCTGTGAGATCTCGATCATGCCTATCCTGCATGAGAAATTCCCTCTCAACTTGGTAAAAAAGGACGGCTGTAGGTAAACATGCAACACAGATTTTTTGCGTGATTCAGATTTAGCATCACAAGTTGCAAGAACCTTCCAGACCCAGATGACATATTCGCATTTCATAAGCATCGTTAGGCCTCCAATTTTCGGCTCTTAGCATCAAGTCCAGCAGCTGGCCAATGCCGTCCCGTATCCTGTGTAAAAACGTCCCCACGCCATAGTTGTCATGCAAATCTGCATGCTTAAAATGTTTCTCATGCGGAGCCCCACGAGAAGCATTTTCTAATGGTGTTTTGAAATTTGTCATGCTCCAATCAGCATGAGAGATTAGATCTGTAATGCTGCTGAACTAGCTCAAACAGCACTACGCGTCCAAATTTGTCATGCGAAACAGCCAAAGCTTGTGGATTTGTCTAGCCGATTCCCGATCTTGACTATGGGGTGGGTAAGTACGTTTTTAAGTAGAATATCCCGGATAATGTCGCCACGGATTTTCTTGTCGTTTTCCGCGGCGGCCGCGTCCATGTGCGCACCCAGCAGCGCGGTGTAGGTGAAGAGATTCGGCGCCACGCCTTCGTCTTGCATCATTTGAAACACATCGTATGCGCCCCGAACGTTGCCACTCTTAGCGCAGGCATCCACTAGCGATATGCATTGCAAAAGTATCGTACTAGTATAAATTGCATCACAAATTTTGGCAAGAAGAAAAGTGGAATTTGTAATGCTGTTTTACCTTAGGAAGGAGATTTGTCATGCATATTTGCAATTAGTACGACTACGATACTTTTGCGCAGGATAAGCGAGGTGTAGGTGACGACATTCGGCGCCACGCCTTATCGCAAGAAAAAAGTGTTACAGTTACACATTGTGTTGCAAGACCGGCAACACAGACAACCTCTCTCATGCAGGAAATGCTTGGGAGCCTCGTTTCCTTCCTGTGTTCCCTTATGATCTTCGCATTACAAGTTTTCTCTGCCACGCAGAGAAAATTTGTGATGCAGAAACTCCAACAAATGTGTTACTGTAACACTTTTTTCTCGTGATACGCCTGCGTCTGTCATCATTTGAAACACATCCCATGCACGACCCCGTTCGTCGCGTTTCCGAGCGTGGGCTGCTATGAGAACGTTGTAGGTGACGACATTTGGCGCCACGCCTTCGTCTTGCATCATTTGAAACAACTCGTATGCGCCCCGAACGTTGCCACTCCTAGCGCAGGCATCCACTAGCGCGGTGTAGGTGCGGACGTCCGGCGCCGCGCGTGCGTCTCTCATGATTTGAAGCACGCCGTATGCGCTATCAACGTCGCGATTCCGAACGTGGGCTTTGATAAGGATGTTGTAGGTGACGACATCCGGCGCCGGGCCTGGTGCGTCTTTCATTATTCGGAAAACACGGTCTGCGCCCGGGCCGTTGCCTCTCTCAGCGTAGGCATTCAGAAGCGTCCTCAGGACGACATGCGGCGCCACCCCGTCGCACTCCATCATCTCAGACAGAACAGCCTCTGGCGTGCTGTCTGAGTTCCGTTCCAGTTTGCCCGCATTGGCGTAGCAGGTCAGCAAAGACTTGTAGGTGACGACAGTCGGCGCCATGTTTTCTTCTTGGCGCATCCTCTGAATAACATTTATTGCGCCCCAAACAAGGCCCCTTTTGGCGTAGGCGCTGATCAGCATGTCGTAGTGGATGGCAGTAAAGCACAGGTGTGCGTCTCGTTGGATGAGCTTGAAAACAGCTTCTGCGCCCTCAATATTGCCTGTGTTTGCGTAAGTCTGTAGCTTCGAAATATAGCGCTCGTGGCACGGGTCTTTCTTAGGATCTCCGTTGTATTACAACGAAAAGTGCCCCAACGCCAGAATGTGGAAGCGTTTGTATTGCAAAGTTACCAATGGAAACATTTGCGACCTTTCATTTGCATGACGATAAATGTTCAACCCAGGATAGCAAAAATTTGTCTTGCAAAAAGGCCCAGCACAAGGAGGGCTTGTAGTGTAAGAGCTGCTTTGCACACTTAGAACAATCGAAAGCAGTAGCAGGGGCAGTCTTCCGATCCAAGCATGCATAGATTGATAAGTAAAGAGTTTTGCATTTGAAAACCTTAATATGCATACACAAATATCTGAAACGTCTGGGGTCGTCGTGGGACGATCGTTTTTCATTGTAATACGTTGCAGCTCTCCACCTTTCCTTTTCCACCACCCTTGCCGCCGTCGTCCCCTCGCCCCCGACCCCGCCCCTTTCCTTTCGACTGCTTTTTACCATTCCAGTTCTTCCCATCGCCGCTGCTTCCCGGCCGGGACCGCAACTGGACGGCAACCACAAGGCCCGGATGAACGTCAAAGTGCTGGCCAACATTCAACACGTTGCTCATGGTCCGAAGACTGGTTATTTCCGAGAAAGTGGCTCGATGTCCACCTCCCAGCAACCCTTTCAGAACCGCTTCTCCGTGCAAGTAGACGGACATGCTGCCGGCAGCGGCAAGCACGCGACGAAAGACCACGGAGACCATGATGATGTTTATGTTTTCTGAAAGTAATTCAACGAAAAAAACAACGACTCAGCAGCAGATAAAGTACAATTGTATGAGTAGTGAAATGCTTGGGAAAGAAGAAGTCAAGAAGAGCGTCTTGACACAGGCGGCGTTTGTCTTTTTATAATGAGCAATTACAGCTTCAGAAGATGAATTCGCTATACCCTTTTGCAGTTCGTAGACCGATCAGTAGGTGTCTCGCAAAGAAATAGCTTGAAAGTAACACAAAGCAAAATTTTGTCCTGTGTCTGTGCCGAAGGTTTGTGTTTTTTGTTACGCAACATTTTAGTTGTCCAACTTCCTCCCCGTTGTATTGTATTGACCTTCAACTACCCCGAGCGAGCAGAACTCTCGAAAGTCGACTGAGGGATCAGGTGGATCTCGCGTTTGATTTATACATTCCTTACTCGAAGTACATCCAGGACGAGGAATCTTGTATGTTTTTGTCTTCTATCATCCGCCACGGCCGAATCCTTGCCCGCGAAAGGAAGATTTGGCAAAACATTTGAATCTACATCTAGGAAGATTTGGCAAAACATCTAGACTGCCTGCTATGGTCGACGCAGCCCTTCCAAAACGGGGTCCCGGGATTGGTGACCCTTTTGGAGCCCCTGAATCGACCATAGCGCGCAGTCTAGATGCGATGTAGACGGTTTTTCTGGGGTTTTTTGTTGGTCAGGGCCACTTTTTGACCGTCTACATGGACCATGCCATGCAGTCTAGAGTCGATGTAGACGGTTTTTGGGGTACCTTGGAAATTTGGCCTTGGAGGCAGGCAAAATTTCCAATCTCTCGCGAATTTCCGAACTCCGGCTTTTTTGTTCAAAATGGTGAGCAGATAAGTCGCAAAATTTGAACAGCAGACGTATTCCCTAGAGACAATCAACACAGCTCGCCAGGGCTTCTGCGAGGGTTTCGCGACCCGTGAGCAGGCGCATCTCTTCGCTGTCAATCAGCTTCGCCTCCGCCACCTGGGTTAGCGCCTTATTTGCGGCGGCCCAGCCCTCTCGCAGGGAGACCCTGCTGACGTTCCCGCCGGAGAATTGCCTGACTCCCAGCCGGAAAGTTGCAGACTCCACCCAGCCGACCTGTTTCTGAGGCGTTACGACCGCGGGCCAGGAACAGTGGCTGTCCAGACGGGTCTCCTCGAACGGCACTTGATGGATCGGCAGGACGGCGCCCAGACCTTTTGCACTAGCTAGCGTAAATGAATTCAGCTACAAAGGAGTCCCGCAATAGCTAGCCATGTGAGCACGTGTTTTTATGGCATTCGTAATATGCTCTAGGGTGCTCACAAAATTTTTTTGCTGCATTTTCTTAAAACCGTCTACGTCTACACTTTTCCCTGTGATAGTATGTTTATGTCTTCTATCATCCGCCACGGCCGAATCCGTGCCCGAGTCGAAAAATTTTTCGGCGCGCTGCGCGCGCCGTTCCGAAAATAAGAAGTCGACCCCTCCGCGCGGAGGGGTCGACTTCTTTTTTTTTATTCCCGGCCACCCTATGAAACGCGCAACACCCCTGCGCCGAAACCTTTGGCGCGCGCGAGTAAAAACGTCGCGGCGTAAAAATGTGCCGTAAAGACTGAAAACGCGACGCCACATCGTAAAACAGGGGCAAGGCAACGCAGGCGCACGAGGTGAGGCTGCATAGCGCAAAAATGAAGATGGAGCACCATCATGGTGAGGCTAAAGAATGCGCCTGCTCCAGCAAAAATACTAGAAGCAGGTCAGAGGGCAACGGGGGCAGCAATACCGAATTTTGTTGGCTGGAGGGGCCGACCGCCCTTCTCAGTCGCCCTCTCTAATAGCCCTATCGGCCCAAGCGAGTGCGTAACCCTCGCGCAAGCGGATTCAGCGGTAAGCTTCATCTCCAGCATGCAGCCAGGACGTCACGGGGAGTGCCCCCTGGACCTGCTAGAAAGCGGCAACTTTTGGATCTGCTTAAATTCGCGAAGTATCTGCTACAATTTCCTTCTGGTGAGTATGTCTTCTATCATCCGCCACGGCCGAATCCTTGCCCGAGTCGAAAGGAAGACTTGGCAGGCAAAGAAGTGCAGCAAAAATTACGTCGCATTTGATGCTGCACTCTGTCCGCGGTAGAGCAACCGACAAAAGTAAGTACTTAATAGCGATCTTTAAAATTTGTCAAATTTCATCCTGATCATTTTTGCTTCCCGATTGGATGATCGCCCGGTGGGGAGATCTCCATGAGCCTCAATTTATTCGTGCTCTTGTTCATGTTCTCCTTTGCGAATATTAAAGACCTGTAGCAAAAGTGCTTAGTGGAACACAGAATGCAAATTTCTCGTGAAGATGAATTCACGGAGAACAAGAGTTCTCAATTGTATTTTTCCCTTCCAGTTCTTATCATAGATGTCGTCGCTTCAAGATTTACAGGCGTGCACAGTGCAGTTTGCGGCACGTCGTAGTCTCAAAGTTCCTAACTGTTTTTGGGTTCGAAATGGTTTCTGAAAGGAACACAAATTCATCGTCATTGTTTTTGCCTCGTCAATTTCGCGTGCAATGAAGTCCAGATTACAATTTCTAGTGTTGGAAAACTGCTGCTTCATTTTTTCGCACACAAGAGGAATTTCGTGATCTACTTCATTTTTCATTGTTGAGTGGAGTTTGTTGCTGCGGAGAAAAGATCTTTTCGCGTTGTCCTCGCAAATCTGTAATGCTATTTTGCGCTTCGAACACGGTGAGAATGGTGCGCAGACGGTTTCTATGGACACCCGTCGCTACATCCATCCCCCCGCTTGAAGAAAAAAATTTTTCACTACTTGAAAAGAATATGTGAAATTTTTTTAAAATTTGAGTGCTGTAATCAGAGTACTCATACCAGATTTGGCTGTATAAGCAGTCGAGAAGCAAAGGATTAGCTTGGCAATCGTCTTTAGTAATCTTGTCGTCATAAAACAGTTGCAGCATTTCTTGCTGCAGCATCTTCCCGTGCGTTTGCATTCGAGTTTGCCGGTTTGCCATCGAATGCAGCGCCTGGGTCAATTTCTGCGACGTCTGCCTGTACAACTCGACTTGCTCTTGCAATTTCGCGATTTGTGCCTGCTTGTCGTCCAACTCCTTCTCAATTTTTCCAGCCGTTTCGGGATACCACATCTTCATGTACTCGACGTCGACTGGATTTCCTGGCATTTTTCCGCTTTGGTGCACAGGCACCGCTCCGGGTTGTCCCTGCTGACTTGCTGACCCAGCTGGCAGCAGCGGTTGCGGGATTTGCCGCTGCGTAGTTGACCGGGACCCGGAGTCTTGTGTGGTTTGCTGTGTGCCAGGGGTTTGCGCGTGACATGCGAATCCTGGTTCGATCTTGAAGATTTCGGCTTCGCTTGACATCGGCGTCGAAGAAGAGCGGGAGTTTGCAGTAGTGGCGGAAGAAGATCGGAGATTTCTGCAGCCAGGCTTCGAGCGGGGGCTGATTGTGCCCCGGATACAGGATCGCGTCGCTTACTTGCTGTTCGACTTCACGGACGGAGGAAGAAAACTTCTTTTACATCCTGCGCCTCGGCCGCGCGTACCGCCACGCACAAGCTTGCGACTATTTGCAGGGCTGCTTTCCTCGTGATCGTCTCGATTTCGAATGCGAAGTAGACTTGTTTTAGTGGCGCCGGGTTCGGTCCTGCGCGTGCTATTTGCAGTAGGACCGGCTCACGAGAAAGCTTCAAGATAATTTTCAAATCCGTCGCTGATTGTAACAACTGCCACTCAGTAGTTTTTGGTCTTTGCAATGCACCACGGATCGGATTTGAAAATTGCCGAAGCGACGTTGAAATTTCTGTGTCCGGGCCCCTGCGTGTCGCTCGGAAAATTGTTGACGCGCTCCGCTTCTCGCGAAGTGCGATTTCCTCGAGCGCGTAGCACAATTCGTCACTTGAAGTCCAATCGGTTCCGACACTGGCGCTTTCGATCAAATTGCCCAGCACCCAGCACGTGTCGGAGTACTGCACTTTGCGGCTCGCGAGGTTGCAGCGGTTCCTAGTTTTCTTCTCTGCTAGTCGTGGTTTAGTTGTGGGAGGATAAGTCCGCACTCGTCGGCTCGCCCCCATAGTTCGCTGCGGCGGAACCGGAGTGCTGTTTTGGAAAAGAAAAAGAAAGCTACGTAGTATTAGTATTTTGCGTATTTCGTGTTGTAACAGAGTCACTTGTCTTTCTAAGAAGAAACTTAGCATCGCACTTGTAGCTTAGTGTGGTTTACCGAAGGTGTTGAAAGTGGTTTGCAAGGGCGGCGTGCCGAAGTGGCTTCGGTGCGTGAATTTCCCGTCTACAAATTTCTCCACCTTGTACACAAGGTTTTCGTGCTCGTTGAAGTAGCGCGCGCGGCCCATCTTCGTGAGCAGCTGTTTTGCATAGTGCAGCTCGCGTTCTAAGTTACCTATCACCGCCGTTGGCGGTAGCATGCCAGAATTAAAACTAGGAGGATCGAGCAGCTTGCCGAGTTCCTGGCTCGCGGCGCACACCTCGCCGCTCTGTTTTTTCAAATACTCCTTTTCGAGGCGCAGCTTGGAGATCTCCTCGCTCTGTTCTACTATTTGCTTACGGTAGCTTGCGCGCTCTTCTAGTGAGTAAGGTAAGAGACTTTGGATGGTGCTTTCACGGTAGTAGTCGAAATTTTTGTTGTCGTTCTTGTCGCTATACAAATCCACATACTTCGTGATAGTGTCTGACATTTTGTGAGTCGCCTATTGTACAACAGATAAAGCAGAAAAAAAGCGTTTGTGTGCAGAGTCGTCGCTGTTCGAAAAATTGGTGGAGCGCGAGAGTTAAGAAACACGACAATGCTGCAATGATGCAAGTTTGATATGACCGCTTTCAACCGCTATCTTTCTTTGTGCCCTCAGCTGACTAGCTTTGTACTATGGTTTTGCTATTGCATTGCTGAAGGCTGGCTGCAGGTGTGCTTTGCCTGCTGCCGAACGCCAGCTACGCGCTTTTTATGCCTGTATGATTCCACGGATCGCGCGGCTTTGCAATCGCCCCGCTTTCAAATACAGGTGTTAAGTTTTATTCTGTTGGAAGACGTAGTGACGCTAAGATATTTACTTTTCTCTGTAGCACTACTGTGGGGTGGTTCAGTAGCTACGCTTCCGGTTTTTCTCTGCCCCAATGACAACCACAGGCGGCGCATGGTTTCATGCATAAGCACCATGTGGCAAGAAGAAGGGGTGACTATTGCTATTTGCTGTTGTTTTCAGTAAAAAAAGACGAAACACAAGCACGGACCGATTCGTAGTAACGCCTGACTTCTTGCAGAAGTAAAAGCTGCACTGGGGTGCCTGTGTAGAAGCGGTATCTTTTTATGGGTTTCCTCATCTGTTTTTTACTTTTTTATGGTTTTATTTTTTTATTTTTACACTAACGCTCTGCTTTTTTCATATCACAAAGAGCGTATAGCGTATGAAGTTGTAAAGGTTTTACTTTTTCATTATCTAGTCGTCTTGTGCGGATATGCGACCGATTTAGTGTTCTGGTAGAGGGACATGACAAGCAGTCTGCTTACTCCTATTTTGAAATGGTGGAGTTTCGCAATAGACTTCGACAAATAGACGTAGTTTCTACAAGTGCGATTTCGTGCCCAGGTGCTTCCCGAAGGAGCGGCTGAGCATTTACTTTCACATTTACTAAACAAAAAAAAACAGCCTTACTCTTCATTAATAAATCTGTCTTCACGGAGTTCCGATCAGATTTTTAATTTTTCCGAGACCCGTTAAAGTTTCGCTTTCTTCGGCTTGAGTCATCTGTTTTTCGGTTCTATAGAATTTTTTTAAAAAATAAATTCTTTTACTCCAGCGAGTTTTGTGGTAAAATTCTCGCTGCTTGCTCATGACCGTTTGACCTCCACTGATCGCATTGCAGGCGCCATTCGCTTTCATCCCATTCTCCATCAGCGTCTTCCGCATTCGCCTGGGACGATTCCTGCTCCTCCGTTTTCAGCAGCGATTTGTCCTTCTCCTTTTCAAACAGGGCCTTGTCTTTCTCGTTGATCAAGAGGGACTCGCCCTTGATGCCACCCGCCAGGTCCATGTCCGACGATTTCTCGCTGTCCGATTCGTTGGGGTTCTGTTTGGACGAGGCCGCGGTGCCCGGGGCCTTCTTCTTCTTCTTCTTGGACTTGTCCTGGTCCGTGGGGCCGGTCTTTCCCTTGCTCTTGTCCTTGATGGTCGGCTGCTGCGAGTCACCCATTTTGCGGCGTTGGACTTGGAGGCGCGAGAGACGATTTATTAATAAAAATAGCAGTGTTAGTTTTATAGTCCCTGTGTGGAAAATTTGAGTGATTGGCAGTTTGCATGGAGTATCTTTGCAAGCTGTGTTGCGGCCACCGCAGGCATTTTTAGCCTGGGCGGCATCGCGACGGCGCTTTGTTGCAAGGACCCAGATTTTTGATTTCTGAAAGGAGAGCTTCGTTTGAGAGCTACATACTTGCTTGATTTTTTTTACATAAATTGCATGGCAGGACCCTATTTACTTCGTGCTCGCGGCTGCATGGCATTTTTGCCGCAGCGGGATTGACGTGCAATTTACAATTTACGACCACGTAGCATCATTGTATTTGCATTTGCCGGGGAGCTCTACAGTTTTTCGGTACAATTTGCGAACGCGTAGCATCTATGATAATTGCGTGTTTGCGGGAGAGCTCTACACTTTGTGTGCAATTTACGAACGCGTAGCATCGTTATTTCTGTTTGCATGATTTTGTTTGGTGCAAGAAAGGAGGCAGCTTGCGTGCTACTGGATCTGGTTGAGATTTTGTGTTCAACATCGCACAGGTGGGCAAGGCTTTTCGCGCCACAATTTCTATTCGAGGGCATTTCTTCATTGACGCAAACGATAACGCAGCCTGCTTCGCTTGCGGAGTTTTTGCTTCGGAAGAGAAGTTGGCTTTTATACACTGAGACCATGGTGTTTGGTGCTCTATGTATTTACAACAAAATACGTAGAGAGAACAACGAAAAAAAATTTACGTTCATGATGGTACTTCCGTGCAGAATCGTATAAGTGCCCGCTATTTATTATTGAAATACAAAACACAAAAGAAAACGAAAAAGAAAATTTTCGTCTGTAGTTGCCAGAAGAAGAGGACCGCGCTAGTTTAGATGAAGCCCGCCTTCAGGGGCAAGCATTTCTCGAGGTACGTGTACTTCTTGGCGATCTTGTGCCTGGTCTTACCGAGTTGCTCGATGTCCGTCTCCTCCCGAGTGATAAACTTCCCGCTCAATACATTTACGCCGAAGACCTCTTGGTCGCCGACTTTTTTCGGATTGCTAAAGATTTTGATGCACTCGTCCAGCCACAGCTTGATAAATTGCCTTGCTGAGCCTGTCGCTGTTTGCAGCCGCTCTTCCTCTGGTAGCTTGTCGTTGCTGCTGTTGATCACAACTTCCTCGCCGTCGATTACTACCGGGATTGAGGCCGCCGCCGTTAGCTTGAGTGTTGTTTCGCCGACAACTTCATCTACAATCCAGACCTTTGCCTTTTCGGGGTCTGGGCCATACTGCAGCGTCGGTTTGCTTGTCGCGTCACTTCTTTTAATTACCAAGTCTCCCGCGCAGATCTCCGTTTTCGCTAGCGTGCCCCGGCGGTTTAGTGTTGAAAGCGCGCTGTCAATGCTGTGCTTCTCTGCATTTTCCACAATCCCATCTCGGAACTCCCGCAACGACTCCATCACTTCGTCGCGGTTTGCGCGCCCTTGGTGGAGGGCGGAGAAGATCTGCGCGCTGGGGAGGCAGAGTCTCTGTCCACAGGAGGCTTCTGCAGGGGAGCGCCCGTTCAGTTTGCGTCGGGGCGCGTTTCTGTCGATCAGCTGCAGCAGAGGAAGAATTCTTGGCCACGTCTTGGGGAAGCGCGAGCACACTTTGAACAGGCGGTCTCTCTCTTCCTTATTCGGTCGCTCCACCTGGTTCTGGTCGCGTGGCTCGTTTGCTCTACCGTGGTTGTGCAGTGTGCCCATGTCTGCAAAGGACGCGACAAGTGAATTGAACGCGTTGTCCGCGGCAGTGTCGTCCGGGCAGCCTACTTGCGCCCAGACGAACTTCCACATCTCATCCCAAGCTTCCTGCGGTTCCCTGGTTTTTGTTGGAATCAGCCAGCCAAGGTCGACTAGTTTTTCCCGGACGCGGAGGATGTTTTTGTACCCGTCTTCGCTTTCTGGTAAGTCCGTCACGTGGTCGAAGACAAAGCTTTGGAACAGCCTTTTTGGCTGGCGATTCGGCGTGTACGCAGCAATGGGTTCTTCTGCGGCATGTTTCAGTCGGCACTGCACGCAGGTTTTTACTACCAGTTCGACGGTTTCCTGCAGCCCCGGCCAGTTGAAGTACTCCTTCACCATTTGCTTGGTTCTTCTGATTTTACTGCGCAGCGCCCACCTCCTGTGGACGCGCACAACGACGTAGATTCTCATGCGCGTTTTGTTGTTGAAGAATTTACTGTCGATCTCGAGCTCTACCCGCGGAATATAGATTTTTCCCTTGTACAGCATGACCCCCGCACAAATGGCG